GGGGGGGGGGGGAGAAATTCAATTTCCTTTCTCCAGCTAAACAAAAACTCTAGGTTTTAGACTCTCACGACCTAGATATAGTCAAAGAGATCATACAGAATGTTCCTAGGGAGAAAGAAACCTCAACTCTCAGCTGTTCAGCCAACTTTTCAGCTTAGAAAATGTCTTTACAAGGGAATATTGAAACAGACCCAAACAGAGGCTTATGGGATAAAACAGTGAAAGATCTTAAGCAGCTAAACTCAGTGCTGGGGAGCTGTGACCACACTATCTCACCTTCCCAGTACTTGTTTAGAATAACATATAACCCAGGCTCTTCTCTCAACTCCAGCGCTCTGAATTCCCATAAGGAAATATCAGTTTTCAGAGAAGAAAAAAAAAAAAAAATCAAACACGTTTTCCTGGATAGTCAATGAGAGGTGGTGGAGAGGGGGAGGTGGAAGAAAGTAGGGTCAGAAGGGGTCAAGGGGCTTTTCAATTGTTTGACTCAATGTAATGAAAACCTCCATAAGGCAGAGATGGAAGGTATGGAACTTCAAAATGGTTGTGCTGAGCTGAATTCTGAAAATGCCTTCATTGTGAAGATAGCATGTATTCAACAAAAGCTTGCAACCTGTGTTAAATAATGAATGACGTAAGTTAGACTGCCTTATTTATTAACAAGTCCAGTGTGGCCTATGCAACCACACTCAAAACTTACTCTGTGGTTCTTAAATGCATGTAAAGCACAATCTGAGCATCTAGAACCCCCAACGGAGGGGCTAAGAAATAAATATCAGAGTAATAAAAACTGATGCCTTTCACTGAATCCTGATAAATGCCAGCACTTTTATTTAGTACTATTAATTGCAGTGGAAAAGCTTACTAAGGTGAGAGGGCCAAAATCAATGTATTAATGATATAACGTTACAGTTGCTTAACCAACTCAGCAATAAATTGCACATAGAGGCTCTGGCAGCAGAGGCTGCAAATTCTATTTGTGTTGTGCTGAGAGGAAAAATATTACACTTGTCTCCAAATATTACCTCCAAATCAGAGACTATCACCCAATAAATTGAGAAGAAGGGTCATCATTGGTCTTCATTAAAATATAGGCAATATAAAAATGCATGCTCTTTTATGAAAATGTGAATATACTTAACACTACTAAATGGTACAATAAGAAATAATTAAGATGGCAAATTTTATGTTATATGTTTTTGACAACAAAAAAATTCATGGCCTATTTTAACCATGCCTTTTACCACTTATGTGAGATGGAACTTGTTCTTTGCAATGCATTTTGGCACTTCATAAAACTGAGACTTAGATGGCTGGTTACATAATTCCAACAACAGGCTTTACTCTAGAATTCCACTTATATGGACAGTGGTATTATTTTTAAACTGAATTTAGTACAGCTTTGGTATAACCATCTCCAGGTAAGAAAAGTGGGCCCTTCTCAGCAGTGTGATGATGGGCAGAAGTGATGTATATCTATAGACGGAGAGACGGAGATCTACATATAGATCATGTCAGTGGGTAAAGAGTATGAGACAGATACTGTGATGGAGAGATTTTTAATAAAATAGGTTCAAACCATGACTCTGAAAACAAAATGTCAGCTTTGCTTAAAATATGCACTTAGAAACAAAAAACATCTTATCTCTTATTTAATCAATACATATATTTTTTTAAATGTTCTACCATGACCTCTCTGAATTCTAAAAGGCACAGTGGTTATATTTTCCCCCTAATATGTAGTTTTTAAAAGCTATTCTATTTTAAAATGATACCGTCAACTGTTGCTTCAGTAAGTTCTAATCAGTTTATTTACTTGCATTACTCCCACTTTATTTAATGGAAACATGTAAGTTTAGCTAAACACCATTAAGCCAGAACTTTAAAACAGGTTATTTTAGGAATAACTTTGGGTCTAATAATAAAGTAAAAAATAAAATGTGTAATTTGGTCCCAACTGTAACTGGTACCCAATGGCCAAGAATTTAAAAGCTAGTCAAGCAAATAATATGTAAGAAAAAGAACACAGATGGTGTCATATACGGATGAGAGGGAAACAAGCTCATCCACTGATGTCATTTTGTTATCAAAACAGCAGAATTCAAAATGATGATACTAAATGTTTTCTATAATTTTACAGATAAGGACACCTAGGACACAAACTAGCTCAGCTCAATCAAAGCTGGGGGACAGAGCAGAGAAACATGCTTTTTCCTATCAGCCAGTCTAATTGCCCATCCTAAACACTTATCCCTACTCTCAATGATCTTAATCTCAACAAATTTTCAAATCAAAAGAATAAAAAATAAGAGTAGAAATTAAGAGTGCCATTAGTGAATTAATAACTGTGACAAGGGCTTTGGTAAATATAACCAAAAAAAATCAATTTGAAGAAGCCTGAAAATAAGACCCTGCCATCGAATATAAAAAGAACAGCAATTGTGAGGACTAACATGAGAAAGCTCTGTTCAAATCTGCTGATTTCGTATATCAGGCAGCTAAGGCCACTAAGGTTTAAAAGAATATTTTTTAATTTAAAAAGAGTTTTATTATCCTTTTCTATGATTATGACTTTAAAATATTAAAGTGAAAAAAGTGTTAAAATGATCAGCCCTATCTCATTTCCTCCCTCTTTATATAATCTATCATCTAAGAATTTCAAAACAACAACAAAACAACATCTAACTGTACAAAGGCACTCCCCATAATCTCAAAATATTCTGAAGAGCTCTGAATTCCATATGGCTTCCTCCATCTGACCACTGACACCCCATCTCATGTAAAAGACACACCACCTGACAAAAGGCCACAGACACTGTGACCAGCCTGGTGAGCCTGGACCAGCCCAGCGCAGGGTCAGCACGGTCGGGGCCCTACCCACCCGTCAGCTCAGGCCCTGGCTGCTGCTATCTGGCAAAAAAGATTGAGAACCAAGCATCCAGGATCCAGCCTGACAGTTGGCTGCTCCCGGCACATCTCAGCATTCCTAGGCCAGCACGTTTCCCCTCTGCTCTGTTGTCACTTCCTTCTGCCCAAGCTTTATAACATGAACATCACCAGCAGAACAAACAGAGACTAGGAAGGTCTCTTACTTACATGAAAAAAAAACAGGTTATCTTGGTCATACGTTGGCAGAAACTGGGTGTGCGTTTTCTGTGGGGGAAAATATGCATGCGCACTCGCCAACCGGAAGGCCACAGCACAAGCCCTACTTTCAGGGCTGCCTATCTTAGTATCAAACACATAAGGAAAAGCAGGAGAAACTTTGCCTTACAGCCCTCTATATGAATGAATAAAACTCATGTTAATGAAATAAACAGCAAAGTTGGGGCTGGGGGGACACCTCTAGCAGAGATGACAGGGAAATGCTGGAGAAAGGACTGGTGAATTCCTACTTGATAATGTATTTGTCACAAGGCATCAAAAGAGGACAGAAATGCACAATTCTGCTTCTCCATTAGATCACAAGGAGCTCAAACATTTCCGGGGACCTAGGGGTCCCATGCTAAAGGCAGCATTCATCTGAGTGCTACACGCTGCTTTAGCATCCAACCTAGTCCTGAGAAATTATTCAATGGGCAATTAAGATTTATAATCCAAATGGTCTCAAAATTATATCTCTGAGAAGTCAATTCCAAATTAAATCAGACCAGGCTTTTAGGCTTCCAACGATCACATTTTCTCTTTTGAGCAAGTGCTTTTCAACACTCAGAACTTCTCCTCTTACAGATCATTTCCAAGGCCATCTCTGGATGCAATCTCCTAAGTAAAACCTGATGTATGAAATGAAAAGGGACATTGGTCAACTCCAAACCTCAGAGAACGATATTAGGGGGAGACTCTAACCTCTTTCAACAAATTTCAAAAAGTTAATCATCTCAACCTCCTTTCTAATAAATATTACTGGAACTTCCCCTAACACAACATACACATAGACTCTTATGAAACAAAAATGTCCAAAACTAAGTTATCGCATATAGAAAGGCTAACGCACACCCAGCCGGGCTTTGAAATATAAAGTGCATACAGAATGCCTTCCCACAAGGAATATATTTATATTATTAACATATACTCTATTTAAAACTTATTTTAAACTGTCACACTACTCCTGGTGTTATCAACCCCAAGCCACCGAAACAGATAGGTAACTGTCAGATTGTCCAGCCCTGCATGTCTCATCTCTGACTTCTGCCCAGACTTGAGACAACATTCATGCCCAGGACGGACCTGTCCGACCAGCCCTGGTCGTGGGGGCCAGGACAGAAGAAAGGAGAGCACCAGGAACTCACATTTCGGTGATGTTCTCAGGGTCTGCAGTGTTAGGCTCCAATCTCGGAAATGCCATGATGCCAGGAATAGGGTCGCTGCACCAGATCCGAGAGGCGCTGCATTTGCAGGACGTGGGACAGGCGAGAGCGGCCCTCCAGAAGCCCACGACCAGCCAGCAGAAGCCCCAGAGCCGTGCCATGGCGGGTCCATGCCACCTTGTCCAGGACGACATCCCTGGCCGCAATGCCAGCCCCAGGCAGACAGTGCGTGTCTCTGCGCCGCACCGGCCGGCCGGCTCCGTGCCCGTGCCGGGCAGTCTTGGCCGCGCTCGCAGCTCTCTGCTCGGTGTCGGTGGCGGGCCCTCGGAGCGGAGCGTGCCGGGGCTGAGCGTGTCCTGGCGGGCAGCGCCGCTCACAGTGGCCGGGGCATCCCCGGCCGCCTCACAGAGGGCGCTACCGCCGCTCGGAGCTCCTCCTCTGCCTCCGCAGCATGGCCCGCACGCCGGGCAGCCGCCGGCGGCGCTCCCGGATTCTGGGGCGCAGGCTCCTCGCTAGACGCGCACGGGGATCCTGGACGCACCTCGGGTCTGAGGACAAACAGACAAGCGTAAGACCGAGCGCTGGACCCCAGACACCATGAACTGAGACACTCTCCTTTCGGGCTGGCGTCACCCCCACCCCGACCCCAGCCAGGAGCCTGTGGATAGATGAGTGCCCAGCTCCCATCCCAGAAACGAACTTGCCCCTCGATGGCACTGCCGCCCCTGGGGCCACTGCGTGCCCACCCTCTTTCCAAGCCTGAGGTCTAGGGAGGGGGGATAGGGCGAGGGTCCCTGCGAACGGATTCCATGGCACAGGCCAGGCGAAGGACCCTTTAGAAAGGGGACGACGAGACTGCCTGCTGCCATGGCTCCGAGACGGAGCCCCCAATGATGCTGCAGAATTGGCCACCGCCGCGGAGAGCAGGGGGCGCCGGCAGGTGGTGCGGCGCGTCCCACCTGGGGAGCCGCCGCGGCCGCCCGGGGGGACAGTGAGGGCCGAAAGGATGGAGGGCACTGTCCGAGCTGCTCACCGGGGCTCCGGCGCCTACCGCCTTCCGGCGGCGCCTGGGTCTAGGCTCCTTCTGGCGCTGGGCACTGAGCGCCGAGAGTGCGAGCGAGGGAGCGAGCGAGACTCCTGCTCCAACCCAATTCCGGGAGCCGCCGCCGCCGCCGCCGCCGCCTCTGCTACTGCTGGCGAAGTGACGTGAGGGCTGACGCAGAGCAGGGGCAGAAACTCCAGAAAATTAGTCTGAAATCCAAAAACACACACGTTCATACACACACAAACCCATAATACCCTCCAGACAAAAGCAACAAGGAGGGGAGGGGAATCTGGGGGAGAGCGGGGAGGAGGGAGGCATCGGTGCCACTGGCCAGAAGCAGGCAGCAGCAGCATGTGGGAGTTCACACACGCGCACATACGCTCACACGCACACATCCAGCCCGTGTAGACGCGCGCGCGTGTGTGTGCGTGTGTGCGCGCATTTAGACCCAGGTACCTCGGAGATGGACTGTTCCGCCGCTCGACGCCTCCCAGTCCCCAATTCACACCGCGGTCGGTCTCTTCTACAGTCGCAGCGGAGACTGTCTCCTTTCTTGAAATGGAGACCCGTCTCGGTTCAGCTCTGAAAAATGCACCGATTCTTATTATAGGACTCTTCCCTCCCAGCTGCGTTCTCCTTTCCCACCCTGCCTAGAAGGGAGGGCTAGCTATCCTAAAAATAAATAAATATTGTCAACACCAAAACGTGTTCAGCATCGGTAACCACGGAAAACGCCCCCATTCCGGGGCATTTATTTGGGGATCCGTGATTTTGGAGGGTATTCCTGTTGGTGCTTTTTTTAGGGGGTGGGGGGGAGTCTCCAAACGCAACTCTAGCTCTCTAAATGGGTATTTTTTCCTGCGGTTTTCTGGCATCACACGTCCGGGAAATAGAGACTGGTGAGGGGAAGGGAGCGCGCCTGAAGCGTATTGGGTTCCCTAAATGCGCGGCAGCAACCCTGGCCTGTCCGATGTGTGGCGCCGCGTCATTTTCTCTCATCTGTCATCCTGGCAGGATGCAGCCATTCCCAGATCGTAGCTTCACTCCCTGCGATGTCCACCCCCACTCGGGGCACCCAGAGCCCTTGCTCCCCTGCCGTACCTTGTGCGTTTTCGTGTGAGCGCCGGTATGCGCGAATGCGTGCCCTGCGCCCGCGCTACCCGGAGCACGACAGGCATCCAGCTACCGAGAAGCTCGGCACGACCAGAGCCTGGGGTCTCACTAGGAACAAATGAGACGATCCGTGAGGGTCGGGTGACAACCCGTAACTGCTCTGCAGGCTCAGTTAAATGATGACTGCGAGGTATTTGCAAGCTTGATCTGAGACTCCTTCTTCCCTTTTGCGGCTCAGAGAGGCTGTTTTTCCGCAGTCATTTAAAAGGAACTGGGAAAATGCACCGCAGTGCCAGACGCTTCCGAGGGCTCTGGTGCCCCCGCGCGGGGAGAGAGCGCCCGGCAGGCTGGAGAGCACAAACCTAGGGCCGCGGCCTAGGCCCGCGCTGCGCCGAAGGGGGCGGGGCGCTCGGGCGCCAGATGCGCAACCTGCGGAGCCCGACGCGTGCTCGCCCACGTCCAGCTGGCGCGTGGCTCGCCAGGTCTTGCCAGCTCTGACCTGAGTGCAAGGCTAGCAGCTGTCTGTGCCAGTAAGGGCGACCGGATGGAATTTCGTCCAAAAGATAAGAATGGTCACCCATCTGCCCGCAGAGGCTGGAGTGGGAGGATCAAAAAACCCTAACGTCCAGGTAAATGCTTTAATCTCCGGGATATTTTAAATATTACAAAGGAACTGAAAGCATCAGTGGGGCTTTTATACAGACCCCCAGTGCTGAGTGTAACCGCAGGAATCCTCGCACAGCACCCAAAAAAATCTCCATGCAGGGTCAGAAGAAAAGGCCAGCAGGTCTGCCTCTCTCCACCATCGCTCGGTTGTGACACCCATTGGGTGCCGAAAGGCCAAGCTGCAGTTTATTCCTCTGCTCAGCCACCAACCCCTGCTGGCTGAGGACGTGCCAAGGAATGGAAGCAAAGGGCAAAAATGTCTTGGTCCAGGTCACACAGTAACACTCTTCTGCCTGTCTTGCCAGTGTCCTTAATGGAACGGCCCCTACAGATCACCTGGTAGAAGGATGTGTGCATAATCATTCACATCTCTCTCTCACAACCCACCCTCACCCCAAGAAATGGCTCATTTGCTTCCTAGTGGCCACAAAGGGTCAATGCAACATAAAAATTCTAATTATGTTAGAATGTTTTTAGAATTTGTAATATAATATACATTACTATTAAATTTAGATTCTAAATATACCTCCATTGACTATCTCCCACATAAAATTAGAACTGGCAGCCCCACTTCTAATTACCCTTCACCTGCTCGGTTCTTTCCATAGTACTTAACATTTTTTAACAGATCATTTATTTATTTATTATATTTATTATTTACTGTATTTCCCTTAGTGGAATGTAAATTCCATGAAGGCAGGGGTCATTTTGTTCATTGCTTTATCTCAAGGACATAGTATTAAAATGTGTTTGTGTGTGTGTGTGTGTGTGTGTGTGTGTGTGTAATGAATGAAATGAAATAAACTAGCATTGAAATTCTCCAAACTATCCCTCTACACTCTCTTAACCACTAACATTGCAAGTCCCTCTGAATGATTAATTCCCTCTGGACACTCTCCCTCCCATCTCCACAATCTCTGAATCCTCCCTGTGCTGAGAGTTTGCATAGCACTTAAAGCCTTACTTTCTGCCTCCTCTGGTAGCAGCCAGGTACTATATACTGTAGTACTGGGCCAGTGAGGGCTTCCCTCTTATTCGTGCTGGTAACTCAATATGATAATGCCTGAAACACACTGGGCAGTGAATAAATGTATCTTAACTGATAAAATTATGGATCTATCTCATTCCTAAGAACTAATGTTGCACAGAGATTTCAGGAATTCTCAGAATGGAGATGATGAACATTTTTTAGATGGAAAAAATTAAACAGAAGTAATTTTCCCCAGATCATACGAACTCTTCAAGGCAGAGGTGGAGACTCCGCGTTGCAGACTCTTGCCTGTACTGGACCACGATGTACCTAGAACAGCATTTGTCAAGTTTTTGTCTCTTTACCATGATCCACAGTATGAAATGCTTTTGATATCACAGTGCAAGGCACACATACATGAATACATACAACTAAAAAAAATTCACACACATTGAAGGAAACAAGATGGCGGCGTAGGTAACAGCTGCCCCCGCCGCCTCCCCAACCACATCAAAATCACAACTAAAACACAGAACCACCATCACTGAGAACCTCCTGAGATCTGGCTGACAAGAAGCCCCACAGCCAGGGAGCTGAAGCAGCACCGAGACGGGCAGGAGGGGGNGCACTGAGAACCTCCTGAAATCTGGCTGACAAGAAGCGCCACAGCCAGGGAGCTGAAGCAGCACCAAGACGGGCAGGAGGGGGGAGACGCGGGCGGATCGGGGCTGAATCCCAGAGACTCGGCGGCAGGCCCACACCCGGTGCCGCGGGGTAAACTTGNATTAGAGAGCCCTCTCCACACACAGCCGGCAGGCAGGCGCCATATTGGATTCACCGGCACCTGACTCACACCTCTGGCCCCGCCCCGTGATTCCCGGAGGCCCCGCCCCCCCACCTCCAGGCTCATCCAAACCATTCCAGTGGCTTTTCTGTGCAAGTGGCCTCTCAAGCCTCATGCTTAGGACTTTCTTAAAATCTCTCAAACAAGCAGCATCGTGCCCCATATGGCTTGATAAGAGGCCCCAGGCCTGGCACTAGCAGCAGCCTGCATTGGCTCATAGCTTGGCCTCTCCTGGACACCTCCAAGCCCAGCACAAGCAGCAGCCAACTAGGTTTGCTGTGTAGCTCATGCTGGGTGGCCCTGGGCAAGGCGCTGGCAGAGGCTGCCTTTGCACCTCCCGGGAGGCCCCAGAGACAGTGCACCTGGTAGTCAGACTTGACCACATTGAATTACAACCCTACCACATCCACAAGTGACACACTCAAGGGGTGCACTGGGTGAACACCAAAGCTCCACTGAAGTAAATCCTGCTCCATAGGGGTGTCTCCAGCACAGCAGCTCTTTGGCTGTAGTTGCAGCTGGTCCTCACAGCTGATTGGCCTGGGGGTCAATTCCTCCCAGTGACGCCAACAGCAACCAAGGCTCAACTACAACAGGACAGTGCACACAGCCCACACAGGGGAGCACCTAGAAGGCCCAGCTCAGGTGACTGGGGAGGCTGAGCCACTGGACCCTTCATAACACCTACTACACAAAGCCACTCTACAAATTCCAGGACATGTGGCAGCTCTACCTAATACATAGAAACAAACACCAGGAAGCAGCCAAAATATGGACACAAAGGAACATGTCACAAAATAAAGAAGAGAAGAAATCTCTAGAAGAGGAACTAAATGAAATAGATCCAAGCAAGCTAACAGATACAGAGTTCAGAATTTTGTTTATAAGGATGTTTAAGCAGACTATTAGGGAAATAACTGAGAAAATCGATAACATAATAAAGNTTTTGTTTACAAGGATGCTCAACCATATTAGTAAGAGTATTAAGAAAATAACTGAGAAAATCGATGACATGATAAAGTACCAATTTGAAATGAAGGCTACAGGAACTGAAATGAAGAATAATTTACA